CCTCCAGTGAATTAATAGATCTAAGCAATAGTCATCAGCGGGTGCTAGCATCACAGAAGGAGAGGTAAGTTAACAATGTGTACCTCCTGATGCAAGCATATCACACCAACTATGCCAGCTCTTTATCGCTGCATTGTAAACCACCCCAGAGCTTAAAACAATGACGGAATTTATTTGGTTGATAATCTATAACTTGGGCAGCTGTGAGCAGGACAGTTTGTCTCTGTTCCACAACTTGCAGGTTAGGGGCTAGAATAACCTGAAGCCTTGTTACACTTACACACCTGGCTGTTGAAGCTGCCTCTCAGCAGAGACCTTTTCTGGAGCTGTGGCTACAACACCTCTACATGGCCCTCCCATGTAGTTGCTTGACTTCCTAGCAGTGTGGTGTCTGGGTTCCAAGGATGTGTCCAGATGGAAAGCCAGACAGAAGCTATGTCACAGCATCACTTACACTGCATTCTCTGTGAGGAGCTATCATTAAGGCCAGCACATATTCAAATGGAGGGGAGTTAGACTCACCTTTTTATGGGAGACATGCCAAAGAATTTATGGACATGTACTAAAACCATCCTACCACCTATGAAGAACATCGTTGGAAGTTGAACCTGAATCAGATGAAATCTCTAGGCCTAACTACAGTTTATAGGAAATACAGGGGGAAGAGGAATGTGTTAAATAACAAAATAGAGGAACAATAAGTAAAATTCAGAACATGGCAGTTTTCTACAGGATAAAGAACCTGGCTTCTTATAAAGAAGAAAAAGGACAAATTTATCAAGTAAAAGAGTCAGCAAATTGCAGTATGTGGACATTTCTTGGATCTTGACTTGAATAAACTGAAAAATTTTTAGAGATATTTGAGCATTGACTGGTCACTTGATTTAATTATTGTATAATTATTTGTATTAGTAGGGTTATGGTGGCATTATGGTCATGTTTTTAAAGAGATTTATCTTTGAGAGATGCACTGCAATCTTTATAGGTGCGGCAATGTCTCAGATTTGCTTCAAAATGTGCCATTGAGGGATGAGTATATATACAAAGAGAATTGATTAGTGCTGAAGCTGGATGATGGGTATATTGGGGTTCAGTCTACTATTATCTTTGCAAAGGTTTAAATTTTTCATAATGAGAGATATTTTTTAAAAACATAATGAAAATTATATTTCCTGTGAATTTTGCATGGTTTCAAAGATGTAAAACAAAACACACACCATACTTTTATATATGTTGGTATTCATTTGCAGTAAGTAAAATTTGTCTAAATATAAGTTCCATCACATATCTGGAGAGTGAAACTGCTGTAGTTTAAATATTGATCAACTAAGTTAAAACTAAAATGTCACTTTTTTCCATTAAGTAAAAATCTACACTGTATGAATCTAAATTTCATCATGGAATACTTTAAATTTACTTTCTCTTTGCTTTTTATCTGCACCAGAGTTTCACCCTCACCTATTTACCATCTTTTTTATTTTCTGGACAAATGCAGAAATTACTTGGACTTTTATTTTCTGATAACAACAAAATTTGTCTTTAGTCCCCATTTAATAAGATTTTTTTTACCCTTTTATTTTCCTAACAGGTATTTTGGCTTACATGAATCGTAAACTAATACAGTTTTAATTCTAATTTTTTTCCTCTGTTTCATCTTTACTGAAGTTACTACCATTTCTCTTTATTGAATGAAAATGGAGAGTTACACTACTGATTTTTCAAAATCTAAACAATTGTTGAATCTAGTTTGGGTCTTTATTCTGTGATTTTTATCATTGTTTCAACAGATTTGCCTTTCCAATAGCATTTGGGTTTGACTGATGTTCAAATTACCTGTCCTGAATCAACACCAGATGCAACGGAGTTTTTAAAAAAAGACAACTTAAAAGTGTAATGGGTAGCAGGGAAGCTCTTTTGAAACTTAAAACATATCATGAAAAATATTACTACCATTCCTAGAAAAGCTGCTCACTGTATTCTTCTTTCTCTTTTTTCTGTTTCCTATGTCTTTTGGTTTGAAGCCTTTTAATATGACAATCAAGTATTTGTTGTAGGAAATACATTATTTTTCAAATACATTTATCATCCTCATGACCTATGTACTTCTGTATAACTAATTCTAAAATCATGGAATTTTACCTAAATGCTTATTTTCAACTCATTCCTAACTGATTAGTGAAGCAGTTGGAAAGTACTGCCACCCTGCGAACCACCCAGATACACTGGGCAGGTATTAGTCTCTCTGTGAGCCTGAAACTTGTCTGAATGTAAGTTCTTTTTCCAGCTTCTGAAGTAGCATAAACTTTTATTTCTTTTTCAGAACCTCTCTGTATCTTTCTAGCTTATTTATTTGATGTTTTTCTAAAAAGAGGGTATTATGAAACTTAATAAACTGACACTTTAGCGTTGTAGAATAGACTCGTAGATAGGGTGTCATTGTGAAGAGATACTATGTCTGCCTAATACACATTTTCAGTTGATTGGGTATTTGCTAAAAGTGGGTAATTTAAATTATCTACCTGCAATTTAATTCTTGTAGATCTCTAGCTTTTAATCTTGCAAGTGGATAGTATGCATTTAAATGAAATTATGGATTAGTATGTAATATAATTTACATTTTTAGTAGTTAGGTATTAAACTCCTACTATATAGCTCATGGGTATTTGTTACAAAGTGAATACTCCAGTTTTTAGTACTTTTTCCCATAATCCATTCACATTGCAGCAGCTACATAGAATTTGGCTGTGGCAGTGTGCATACATAATTTGCAAAGGATAGTTAAGGAAAGGACACATCAAATCATTAAGCCACATACCTAAATCATGGGGCGTGAAGCCTACTTATAGACACGGCTAGATTTAAGTCATCTATTGAGGAAGAAGGGGAAGTGATTTTACTTTTCATTAGGATTAGTCTAGTTTTGACCTAGTGACTAAATTTTTCCAAGAAATTTCTCAACAATTATTTTATTAATTACTTACCTTTCATCTTGATTATTTTGGAATATTTGACTTTCTAAGGGTTTTAGCAACTTTCTTTTGTCTCATACAAATCATTTTAAAAGTTTTTGGTTACTTTCCTATTTGGGAGCATTTGACATCTTTCTGGAACGTTTTTTGCTTCTGTGATATATTATTCTTCACTGAATCTACTTGCAGGTTAGTTTTTCTCTTCCGGAGCTGTGGTCACTAGCTGAACTCCCATGCCTGAGTAGGGACTGTCTGGAAGGTCATCACATTAAAATCTATACGGAGGTGTGAAGTAATCTTGCTCAGATCTATGGGTTTATTACTTGCCCCCCAAAGGAGGCCTCCTTTCTTCTAGAAACAACATCAAGTATCTGTTTCTTGGGACACTTGCACAACAAAGGGAATTTCAAGCAAAAATCAGATGAACAGTTGAAGATAAAATAGGCTTTGATTTCCTATAAAAATGAGTACCAGAAAAGAGATGCTTCACAAGTGACTAGCGTCGTTCACCCAGGAACCCAGCTAAGCCTAGAGAAAAAGTTGAATTCCAAAAGATCAGAGTGAAACATAAAACAGCTGGGGTCTCCAGAAATAGGAGAAAGCAAACCATTACAATCTGAGGTAAAACAACCATTAATGCTCTTTAAAATCTTTCAGTGGTGCCCTGTGCTTCCCTGCTTTAGGTAGACCTCCTCTTCAGCCTCTCACATAATTCTCTTAGCCACCCAGTTCACATCTTCATCGCCTGAAGCACCCGTACTCAAACACTAAGAAAGACTTCTACTTCCAAACCGCTACTGTTTGCCAGGCACTGTTCTTGGTACTTTCACATGATCTCATCTTGATCACAAGGTCAGTATTACTATCCCTACCTAATAGAGGAGGCAGTCATTTATTTATTCAGGGTTGCACGGCTAGCAAATGTGCAACGTGAATTTGAACACAGGCTTTTTTTTTTTTTTTTAGGTTTGTAATTTTTTCCATTTCAACTTCATTATAATGTCCTTTTCTCTCTTTCCTGTAATCTCTCCTCCTTCAGACTTATTCCTACTTAAGAATTACTCAAATAATATTTTCTTTGTTATTACCCTATTCAAAAAAATATAGAGTAACTTTGTTGCATTTCCTCAATAGTAAAGTTGGCATTTGAAATTCTTTCCAGACCTGCCCCACCTTTTCTTCTGTCCCATCTTCCTGTTCCCAACTGGCAGTATTCATGGAAATAATTTTCTTTATGATGACTAATTACCATACAGTGTTGCATACCTAGAATACTCAGTGCCTTCTAAGCCTTCATATCTTTTCTTGTTTTAGTGATCTTTTGCATTGATGTTGCATGTTCTTCCTCTCCTAAAAATCCTTGTTCAGGCCTTTTGTGATTGAACCCATTTTGCTGTTTACTTCTAAATGACATCCCCTTTTCCCTCATATATTAATTGTGTATTGAATTGTTATCTGTTTGCTCTCCGGCTTACTGTGATTGTATATTCTTTTATTATAAACAACTATTTAAGTTCATAGTTTGCCCTTTTCTATTTCACGTAACCTCAGAGCAACTGGTTGAATTTTTGATCCAGAAAACATTTAAGAAATACTGATGAACTTGTTCCAGTTAGAGTCTGCATTTTCTTTAGATAAAACTAACAATGTGGTCATGTATAATAATTTAAATTTTAATATTTGCATTAAAAAGATAATACTTTTTTAAAAAAGTTGATAACATCAAGGTCACATTCTAATCCTAAAAACAAAATGGGCTAAAACAAAGCAATCCCTCACCCTAAATACATAGGCTATAATTCATTTTGCTTAAAAATTGTTGTATTCACCATGTGATGACTTTAAGCATATGGAAAACATTTTAAGTATTTTGATATTAAAGGGTTTTGCATCCCTCTGTGCTATAATAATTTCCTCTCTCTCATATGAGTCCCGCCAATGGCAAATAGACTTGCACCTCTCAGAGACGAGTTTGAGGGTAATTCTTGGCATGGTGCTAGTCAGTTTCAATTCTGTGTTTTCTTTTTTCAGGTTTCCTGAAATGCAGTTTTTCCAACAAGAAAATGTGAGAAAAATTCTTACAGATGTTCTTTTCTGTTATGCTAGAGAAAACGAGCAGTTGCTTTATAAACAGGTAATGAAAATATCGTACAGGTGGCATCCATTGACTCAAAATTTTCTATACAGCTTGACAAATGATAGAGCAATAATGTAGCCTTTATTGTATCCAAAGTTGTATCATAATAGTAAAGCAATCAAAGAGCTGCTTGTCAGCTGCATGGTGAGAAAAGTAAGCTCATTGAGGCGCATATGCTTCTTCCTTATTATAAGACATTTCACCAAATTGTCTTCTATAAGGCATTCAATCTTTTCTTTCAACTTTTGGGAGTTTGTTTATAAACAGCATCTTTGAAGCCAATCTAGTAATAAAACTTTTCAGAGTTGTATGTATAAATATTGTTTCTAAGTACAGGATTTATAAATATGTGACATGCTATGTAAAAAATAAAGTATCCTTTTACTCCTTAAAACTTACTAGTAATATAACTTCAGGAAGTTCTTTTAATTTTTTTGAAACTGAAATTATATTCTTTGTGATCCTAATACTGGATTTATCCCATTACTAAAGCAAAGAAGATTGTTGGATTATTTTGACTGAAATGTATGTTATTTACTCAATATATTGGGAAGTATGTGGGTTTCTACTTGAACTTATGGTGTTCTAATAAAAATATGTCATGTTGAATATTAGTATGTATTTCTCAAAATGTGTATTAATAGGGAATTCAAGCTAAATCAATGAACTTTCTAACAAACAAAAGTTATGATCTATGTCCAATTGATGACCGCCTAATTTCAGTATAACAGAAAACACTTGTATGGTGAGAGCAGTGTATTTAATTTGAAATAAACTTGATCAGTTTAAATATAATAAACCAAGCCTTACTACAATTGTCCTAAATAATGCATTTTTTATTATATACAAAAAAGACCCAAGGAACTAATTTTATCTTAGTTTTAATATGAGTAATATGTCTTTACATTAATTGCATGATAATTGCATATAATTACATGAATTACAATTAATTATATAAATCACTGTATAGAATGGGAAATGGAAAAAATATATCCCATTCATAATGCCAACCAAAACCATAAAATACCTAGAAATAAATTTAACAATATAGGCACAAAAGCTATATGAAGAAAACTACAAATTTTATTGAAGTCTATAAAACCAGACTTGAGTAAATAGGAAAGTAATAACGTATTTTTAGATGAGAAGACATTAGATAAAAGTAGTCCTTCTCACAAGCTTAATGTATACATGTATGATCAGTCCAGTGATAGTCTAAGTGAGAGATGTGATTTTTTAAAGCTGGACACATTTATTTTAAATTTAGTACAACAGTCTTTATAGTTAATTTTAATGGAGATGATATGGTTTAGTTGATTACAAGCACTGGGTCTAGGTGCATGTCCCTTTGAATCTCAGTTCCACCGTTTACTAGCTGCATAGGCAATTTACTTACTTGACTTTTTAATCCTTAGTTTCTGTATCTATAAGAAGAGGGTAATAATAGTATATAACTTTGTAAAGTTAAAAACATCTAGTTCTCCCTAAGGATTCATGTGGGTACTTGTGGTGGCTATCATTATGATAAACATTATTAAATATGTTGGAGTTGCCATAGAGTTTAGGAGAAGAGAGGAATAGCAAAGGGAAATATGAAAACTTTTATACATGTTCTGTGACCCAACCAATGTGATGGTAGCGTGGGAATCAACAAGTAGAGGAGTGGAGCAAACTAAAAACAGGTCCAATTATGTATGAAATCTTAATATTATAAGATAGGACATTCTTACTGACTTGCTATACTTGGCCTTCCATCTAGAAAAAAGGTTAAATTATAGCTTAAATAGAGAATAAATTCAAGATGAAATAAGATAAAAATGTAAAAGTAAGAATTATACAAATATCCTAGAAAAAAATTAGGAGAATGTTTTTTATAAGCTCAGGGTAGGAAAGGTTTTCCCAAGCAAGATATCCAGAAGTCATATGCAATGTCACAACGCCAAAAACATGCAAATAAACAAACAAACCAAAGAAAGTAGACTGGGAGAAATTAAATCTCTATCAGTATAGGATTTTTTGGAAGCAAGTAACAGAAAACCCCATTGAGAATGGCTTAAACTCTGCGGGTGTCATGATCATACTTTGCAAGAAGAATGGTTCTGCAGCACTGTTAGTTCACTAGCTCAGATTCTACATCCATTATCAGGTTTATTTTTATTTTTCCTTTCTGCTGTCCTCATTTTGTTCACTTTTATCATCAAGCCCATCTCCTTGTTGTCTCCTCTCCTCTTTCAAGTACTTGAAAATACTTCACAGGAAAGATTTCATAGCAAATCAAGTCAGAATAAAATTAGCCCATTGCACATTTGTTTCCTCTTCTTCTTTAGAGAAAGAAGCTAGATTAAAAAGTCTTAAAATAATGGAAATAAGTTCACTGACAAGGAACAAAAACATAACTGCACAAACTGTCATTTGTGATGTACGTGACCCACTGCATTTTCAAGGAAATCTGCAGAGGAATATGGAAGATCAGATTCTTGATAATTTAGACAAAGACTATCAAAATTGAATATGAAAGTATTAACTTATTCCTCAGTATCAGTAAGACTTAATTACTCCCTATATATGTTTAAAACCCTATAGATTCTTTACACAGAAATAATACCTTGCTGTAGAAGGACTGAATATTTAGCCAGATCAAATTTAAGAAAAAAACCTTGAGTTTCATCACAAGCTGTTAAAGCTATTATTTTGTACTAGGTGACACCCCGTTTAACATCGACCATATTGTTAATAGTTATGGGATTTTATTGAATTAATGAGACTGTTATCATGTAGTAGAATGTCTTGCTGAGTTAATTGAAACTGCAGAGATTATATAAATGGTATTAATGAACTTTGACTGTCTGATGCCTCAGCTTTAATAAAGACTGCTTGGTGAGCTAAATGAACACAGGCAGATAAAAGAACAGGTTCAATTTTGTGAGCCTACAGGCTGTTGATGAGGAAAACTTTGTTACCTTTATTTTCAAATGGCATGAGCTTGGAGTGCAGTGACTACTAACAATCCAGCAGAGATAAAGGCTTTAAGCAAGCAGAAATGCTGACAATGTAGATGGAAACAAAATACACATTTTGAGAACCAAGAAATATACTGAGAATACTTTATTTTTTATTATGCTTTGTTAAATTTATAGCATATTGAATTTATGATCATTCTGTCTAGATAGCTCTCTGTTCCTTTAAAGATATCTGTGTACTTGCTACTTGTAATTATTTTCCAAGTTTTACTAGTCTAGAATTGAGGATAAAACCAACAATATCTTCCAAGTCTATTTAAGGAAATATTCCTAGTTTAGTTGAAACACAACATTGAATTTGTAAAAGCTTGTCTTAAATAGTATTTAGGCAACTCTTCATTTCTGTCATAAAGAGCACCCTACTTATTGATGTAAGATATTGAAATATGATACAGTGTTATTTTTTCCATCTTTTACATTGTAGTTCAACTTTTACCAGTGTGTTGCTGTGTTGAGTGGTAAATATTGCATTTATACTGTCACTGTATAGTGAACACCATTTATGTGCTGTGTCTGTAATAGAAGCTGGGGGGTGTGTGTGTGTATGTATACGTACAAACATACCACTTACCATAGTTTATGACTGTATAGTCACTTCCCTGTTCATTTTATCATTGTGTGCCTTGCTCTCCGGACTGCATGCTTTATAATGATTAGGAGCATGCCTACTTCATTCACTTTTGTTTTCTTACCACGTCATAGGTAGTTAATAAATAATTTTTGAAGTAAGTGAAGATGAATGACACTTGAGCAAAATAGAAAATGTGGAAAGAGTAGTGTCGCAAAAACTAAAGGGAAGAGAACATTTAAAGAGGTGGGAAGATACATTTAAGCAAGAAATCTTTGTTATTAAATTAGACATAATTAGTTAGAAAATACATTGAAGGGAAAACACTCATTTAGAATCACCACCACCACCACCACCAACAATAAAGCCCTATTGTAACAAACCCAATAAAAACTATGCAGTTCTACAAAGTTTTGGATTGGAAAATCTGGTGTTCTAAAAATATCTGTTTTCTTCAAGTTAATTTTAATGCAATGCCAATAAAAATTGCAGTATTTTGTTTAACATTTATGTACTGAGGCTCCTTTGGATGAAAAAATTAAGTTAGAATAGGCAAGATAGTTTTGAGAAAACAATAGAAAATATGAAGGAACAGAACATTTTGCAGCTTGTCATGACAGTAGTAAAATTCTTCTTAAAAATTTCCTTATTTGATTTTTTCAAGCACACCTTTTTGTTGGCTCCCAAGACCCTAAGAAACAAAATGGAAAAGATTCACCCTCTCTACTGAGATAGCCTTGGGGGGGGGGGTGTATGTGGGGGGGGTTGTGGGGGTGTGTGTGTGTGTTTGCACATGTGCACGTGTGCACATTGAAGTTCTGATTGAGAATATTAAGAATATTCACACCAATAAAATACCTGTAAAAGCCCAGAAAAAAATGAGAGCTAAATATTCAATTTATGGTAAAGGTCACATGTCAGAACTCTTGGCAGAAAGTGAGTTATTCAATAAATGGTTATCATTCAATAAATTAGTTTAACTCTTTTGAAGAGAAAAATATGTATGTATTCTTCAGGGCAAAATTAAGTACTAGATAGATAAATAATTGACTGTAAAAAGAAAAGAAAACTATATACTTACCTTAGCCATTTGTGAAATTTGACAGGATTTTATTAAAATTCTTTTTTATTAAATTTATTGGTATGACATTGGTAATAAGATTGTATAGATTTCAAGTGTACACTTCTATGATATATCATCTGTAGTTTGCATTGTGTGCCCACCAGCAAAGTCAAATCTTTGTTATCACTACGTATTTGATACCCTTTTTACCCTTTACTACTCCCATCCTGCCTTCCCTCTAGAAATAACTTATACAGAAAAAATCAGGAACCGTATGATTTCACTCATACGTGGGATATAAAACTGAAAGCGAAAAATGAACAAACAAACAAAAAACAACAGACAGAAACTCATAGATACAGAGAGGATTTCTTTTTAAACACTACAAACATAGGTGAAGATTTGTGATATGGCGATTTTTATGCTTGAAAGTGAAGGAATTCTTTTTGAAGGGTAGCTTAATGGATTATGTCAGAGACTTTAACAAATGTCTTTAATCATTTACACAGAAATTCTGCTTCTAGGTACTTTATCCTGTGTAAACCATCGCAAATAGGAAAAAAAAATACCACAAGAATATCTATCACAGTTTTTAATTTCTTTCCTTTGTTTTTTGGTCCTCCTTTCTTTCCTTTCTTCTTCTCTCCTACCTTCCCTCACTCCATTGCTCACCCTCCCCTTTCTTCATCCCCTCCTCTTTCTTTCTTTTCTTTTTTGTGGTTTTCTACAATAAGTAGCTATTACTTTGATGATTAAAATTATGGCACTTAGTTTTTGGAATAACTTGAGATTTTTCAGGACACTAAAGCCCTTGTGATGATTATAAGACATACTTAGAAACACAATTCCATTCTTTCTGGGTCTGTACCATGTTCTCCTAAAGGCTAGTCTTTTCACGGTTTGTTTAATAAGGACATAGTCACCTAAAAAGATTGATGTATCGTAATTTGTCCTAAATCACAAGTAAATTGTCAATGGAGCATAAATTATTTTGTAAAAATGTCACCAAATCCTTCTAATTCAAGACTGGGGATAACTTACAGTGAACTCTGAAAGAGTTCACTTTCATATCATTTTGTGTTAACAACTAGTTTCTTAAGAATGGCACAGCACTACCAGACTCTGCAGAAGGCTGTGTGATTGCCCTTCTAAATAGGAAGTCATCTCTAATTTCACCAGCAAAACCATTTTCTTCTTTCTTCTTGCATATTTTATTTTTATTTCCTTTAAAGTAAGTGGTGTTTTGTCTAATGTTTTTATAAAAGGTCATCCATAGTTATTAAACAAAAAGGAAATGGTAATTTACTCAATTGTAGAAGCAAAAAGGTGCAATCTATTTTTAACTTGCTAAAATGTGGGGGATTTTTGTACATAAGAGGAAAAATAATTAGCAAGGCAGGTCACTGATGTGGAATACCTTATTTCCCCACAATAATGGGTAAATAATGGTTTTTTGTAATACCCTTTTAAAGACAACTTAGTAGTTAATGTATGTTTTTGTGTCTTTGCCTATTTGTATAATAATACACAAGGTGAACACCAATATAAGGGAAAGAATCAAATTGGTGAAATCACTAAATAAGTTGAAAAGTAACTTTATAGTTGAAATTAGACAGGAAAAATTTATGGTAGTCTTCAGATTAAACAAATTGAAAATCATAATTTAAAAACTTTGTTTTCCATTATACCTACTAAAGTTTGTTTCTTTTATCACCCAACATTTCCAGCAAGCTGACTTCAGTTCTTCCTAAATCTACAGACATCCTAATTTTGAGCCATTATATAATGAAAACATTGGATGTAATTTCCTTAGGTCTACATTTCTTAGTTGCCCTTCTTACTGCAGATCTTTATACTGTAGCTCATGATTATAATTTGCATAAATGAAATTCATATTTATGAGTACAGATCTTGAAGCAACTGACAGGTGCAAGGTTGTCTGCCATGCCAATTTATTGTTTGTTGTGTTATTTAAAAGAGAACTGCTCTCTCTGTTTTAAAGCAGAATACATACATGGTTGAATTGGAACCAAAATCTAAAAGTGTAAATAAGATCTCATTTTCTAGCTTTTCATTTTTATGCTTTTTTATATAATCACAGAAATGCTGATGGCAGGGACCAGCTGAAGAAGCATTTAACTAGGCTTTTTCTGTCTGCTAGTGGACTCTAAACATCCCTCCTTTTCATTTTTCTTGCTCTTATGTTTCAGGGCATGCATGAGCTGTTAGCACCTATAATCTTTATCCTCCACTGTGACCACCAAGCTTTTCTTCATGCCAGTGAGTCTGCACAACCAAGGCAAGTTTTTATATAAGCTCCATCTGTTTTTAAGTCCTGTTGTAATCTTTTTTTGCCTCAAAATCTTTTAAATTGAAGGCACTTTTGTAAATTGTAAACATTTGGTTTGTTTCATGTGGCTGATTATTAATTCCACTTCATAGATGTAATCCCAGTGCAACTATGGGCAAATTTGGAAACATAAGTATCTTTACAAATCTTAAAGAGAGGCATAATTAATGAATCAAGAGGAAGAAATTTTTGTTGTAATGGCAAAGTGTTTAAGGTTGATAGTACTCACACACACCATCCTCTAATGACCTATTCTTAAAGCGCAAGCTGCATGGAAACCTTATCTGAGGTGTTTTTCCAGGTCTGACTCAGTTCAGTTCATAAGAGAGCACTGCCACGACGAATTCAAGTCTGTAACTAAACAAAAATGACTTCTGTTTTTGAGATACATTAATTTATTCTTCTTAGCAAATAACTTTAGTGATTGTATTTAACTTAAACTGTTAGAATTTTTTTTCTAACTTAAGATACCATAACTGATGAGCCATAGAGGCAGCCAGGAAGCATCTTGGCAATAGAAAGCTATAGGATTTAGAACTTTGTCAGGAGTATCCCACAGCCTAGCCCATCTATATGCAGAAAAGAGGAAATAATCATATAATATCTTTATTAGTCAAATGAGGCCATCCATTTACTGAACATATACTCAGGCTTTTGTTAACTTTTGTTCACTGTATTATACATTAGTATTTTCTAGTTTCTTTTGAGTTCTTTAATCATACTGAGTTTACTGGATCTGAATGTAGTAACCATATCTTAATTGCCTTTGTTTAGTTATTTTAAATAATGATAAAGATAAAGTTAGTATTGGATCCTATTTTCATGTCAGTTTTACCTTTTTAAAAACATATGTGTCGAATATACTTCACAGCAAAGTACAAATGATTGAAAATAGCTTTTAAATGAGTTGGACATGCTTCTTTAGTTGTTTCAATTCACCAAAATGTAAAAGCAACACTAAAATAGATTTGGAAGAGGTACTATCACTGATTAATTGATGTTATAATATAGTAAAAATAGAAACCATTAAAAGAAATTAATGTTTTGATATGGTGTATTTGACCTGAAACTATGTATTCTTTTGTTTTGTTTTAGACAATACGCAATAGGTTTTGGAGTAATCAATTTATTCTAGACCAGGCACATTCAAGGAACATATCGTCACAGTTGTATTTATTATTTGAAATAATTAAAAGTTACCTTATGGTAATACACACAAGGCAGCTAATTTGTTTCTGATATTTTTAGAAAGAAAGGATTTCATTTGTTAATGGAGTTCCTCTTTCTACTAAAAAAGGACAATTTTTTTTTCACTTGTACATTGTGTAAAAGTTGGTTTCCAAGTATAGAATAAGGTAAACTCTGTATCTCCTTCCATTAAAAAAATTACACATTTTGATTGCATGTATTGCTTTTTTAAGTGAGGAAATGAAAACTCTCTTGAACCCTGAGTATCTGGAACATGATGCCTAGTAAGTACAAAAAAATTCTGTTATTTTTATTTTTTATACCATATTTATTTTAATGAAGGTTTAACGGTATTATATTATTTTTCTAAATTTTAGTGCGATGTTCTCACAACTTATGGAAACTGCTGAACCTTGGTTTTCTACTTTCGAACATGATAATCAAAAGGTAAATCTTCTAGTACAGATCTTTTCCATATATTTGAAGGAACAAATAATTTTAGTAAGTAACAACATATAATCAGAGAATAAAAGCCATTATTATTACTATAAAAAAGAAAATATAAAAATACCTGTGCAATAAGATTGAACTGGGATCTAAACCGTATCTCTGATAATATTAGCAGATGTATACAAAGGTGATATAACAATTTTTGTGTAAATGAATGGAAACTTGTTTTATACAAGTGTATAATATCTATGCACTTATTAAAAATTATAAATTTTTAATAAGTGCATTTATCTACTTGATTTGTTGCCGTTTTAGTGAACTGATACTTTAAATGAAGTGCATAGATAAACTGTATCAAGTAGGTTGTTTGACTTGTACTAATGTATCATTATTGAATTTACATAGGTAGCATTTTCCCTTTCTCTCATCCTATTTTTTACAATTTTTATTGTGATATAATTAACGTACTATAACATTTACTTTTTAAAGTGTACAATTCAGCCAGTTTTAGTATATTCACAAGGTTGTGCAAATATCCTCACATCTAATTCCAAAACATTTTCATCACCCCAAAAGGAAATCCCCTGCCCAGTAGCAGTCCCTTCCCATTTCTTCTTCCCCGGAGCCTCTGCTGTTACTAACCTACTTTGTATTTCTACTTGCCTATTCCAGATATTTCATATAAGTGGAATTATACAATATGTGGCCTTTTGTGACTGACTCCTTTTATTTAGCATATTGTTTTCAATATTCATTCACATGGTATACATCAGTACTTCATTCCTTTTTGTGGGTGAATAATATTTCATTGTGTGGCTATACCATGTTTTATTTATCCATAAGTTGTTGATGAATATTTAGGTTCATTTTACGTTTTGCTTGTTGTAAATATTGTGTACAAACTTTCGCTTGATTGTATGTGTTTAGTTCTCCTGGCCTATATCTTAAGAGTGAAATTTCTGAATCATCTGTCATTTTAAACAAATATATACTAACTTAGAGGTCATTATGTATTTCCATTTTTATTACACAGTATTAGAAAAATTGCAAATTATTCTGGCAAGGTTGTTAAGAATTTTTGGCATATTATTTTCTATATGATTAATTTCTTTTATCTTGGTATAGTTGATTGCATTCTGGTTAGAAACCATGTATTATTCAGTCACTTCTTTCCATCTCTTAAAAAATAAAATGGATAACTAATGTTTTTTATGCCTTTGGTCTAGGTCAGGGCAAACTACTGCCTGCAAATGAATTTGGCCTGCCATCTGTTTTTGTACAGCTTGTGACTTAACAGGGCTTTTGCATTATTAAATTGTTGAAAAAATATGAAAAGGAGGATATTTTGTGACATATGAAAATAACATGGAATCCAATTTCTATGCCCATAAATGAAGTTTTATTGGGATACAGCAAGCCTATTTATTTACTCATTGTCTATGGCTGCTTGCTCATTACAACAGCAGGGTTGAATAGTTGCAACACAACTGTCAAGCCTAAAATACTTCCTGTCTGCCTCTTTAAAGAGAAAGTTTGCCAACCCCCAGCCTAGGTGATCAAGTCTTCCTTCAGCAGTATATGAACATGTTACCTTCTGTAAGGGTTACTAGCACAGAAACTTACTGTCACTGTATGTGATTACATATATTTTGAAACAATAACTATATTTTTGACAAGTGATTTGATGAAGTCATAAACTTGTGTGAACATCAAAATCTTGAGCAGAGAGTATTTGAATACATTTAAAACAGGCATCATGATTATTTTAGGTAGTGGTCATTTTGTATTTTGTAACTGATTCACCATACCCGAGAAACTGAGTGATAGAAATGTGAGGGTTACCATTTTTCAGTTTTACTTACCCATCACTGATCAAGTTGGTATCACTGAGTCAAGCTCATGAAAATTGCTAAGATAACACAAAGAAAGACATTCATTTTATCTGTGAACACATAGATGTTGTGACCTCTGAACATTTATACTATTTACTTGCATGCATATAGCAATGAAAAAGATGTTCCTATAAAGAATGTCTAGTGAATCCCTTTTTCATCCTCCTATTTTTATTCTATTGTATTATTCTCTTGCCTTTTTAAAAAAGAAGTTTGAGAAATTAATATACCACTTTCTTACTCAGTTCTTCTAGTTCCTTTGAAAATTCAGTTATATAACATGCTACTGTTTCAGCAAACATACTTTTCATAAGACTTTCTTCATGAAGCAAACAGTGCATTGGTTTAGCTAATGACATAAAATCATTATCTCATTGCATTCCTTTAACAGTTTGTGGACTGAACACATTTACTGCCTAAGAAATGGTTAGAAAATTTTTCTGGTTTTATTGGTAGCTGTGGCTGTTCCATTTGATCATACTTGTTAAATGCAAATAGCATTCTTTATTATGATAAGAAATCCTGATGATAAGGAAATATTTTACCATAATTCTAGCTTCCCTTCTGATTTTTACTATTTAGCACTTAAGTGATCCGGAACATTATTTCTGAGTTTCTTAAGTGTAAGAGATTTTGTTGTAAGTATTCTGAGCACAGGGGAAATCTTTTCAAACTATAGTTTACATAAGCCTTAGACTACGCATGAGTCTCTATTAAACATTTCAAAAATGGTCTTAGATATGCCCTTGATTAATGGCAACTCATTCTAGTCAAACTAAAAATTGATTATATGATTTCATTAAGTTAAACATCTTTAAAACGGGTTTATTTAGGATTACTTCTTTCAAAGCCAGTGATTGTATCTCTCAGGACATAGTGTATTCAAACCCTTAGAAGAAGACTAGATACAATGATCTGTTTTCCATGCTATTATTAGAAACCTTGTCTGAACTCAGTGCCTCCACCACACAACTGTACGGTGTTCAGCTGCACATGGTTCTTCAATAAAGGGAAAACTACATGACCGAAATACATAAATTTGTATTCAAGAATTTGGCCTCAGAATAAACACTACCTTTTGAATGTTAATAGTATCTTACAGTTAACACGAATTCTTTTTAAAAAATTATTTCAATTTAATATCAGTAGGAAAATTTTCTAACAAGAATTAAAACTTTTAATTAAATCTTTGTAATTGAAAAATTAAGAATTAAAATCTTTTTTAATTGGAAAAGAATATTGATATTATAAAATCTGAAAAAAGGTGTCTTAGATGTATATTTTGAATAATAAATGACCACAACATAGAGATTTCCTCTCCTTCCATTTACATAAATTAATACAAACTAATTGAATTATAAAAATTACTGTGGACTTATATCTTTCAGACCTAAAGACACTAGGGCAGACATACAGGAAGTACAAAGGGCTACATTTCTTTTTAAGACTTGAAATGATCCTGGTAGATGGAACTCCTTCCAGGAAATTTTTCCTTATCCTAACACGTTTCTCCTCTCCCCTGGGCTTTCTACCAGCCTGATCAGTCACTCTTCTTATGTGGAGTTCTAAGTTACTTTCTCCGTAGTCCTGCCCTTGAGACTACGAAGGCTAGAGCTCTGCCTTATTTTTAGGCCCCTGAATCTGGTCCAGTTACGAAAAGATGATTTTACTCTAGAGATCTCATAGTTTAGGAGCTTAAGAAGTAGTAAAGGATACTGCAGTAGTAGAAAAGAATATAATTAAATATAGCCTGAGCCACATCTTTAAATATACTTGGGAGTTCTTCAGTGGAAACACTGGGAAGAGATATTTGAGGTAAAACAGTTGCATCCCAGGATCTCTGGAAGTGAGAGTTAAGGTTCACTAATGAATAAATGAAAGGCCTTTATAGACCAAGCTAAATAATTTGTTTTTTCTGAGTGAAAATGATGGGGAGCTATTGAAATGTTTAAGGAAGGCCATTTAGAATAGCCTAATATCTGCTTAAGAGAGATCACCAGGCATTTTGGAAGATGAATTTAAAAGCAGATTAAATTAGGGGCAGTGAGACAGACCCATTAGGAGGAGGAAAGAAATAATTAGGGCCCCAAATCATGTTGTTACAGTAGAACTGTAGAGGAGGAGACATATAAGAATCCCCTGAGGAGCTAAAATTGACAAAGTAGGTGATCTCATTGGACGATGGATTTTAGGGTAGGCGTGGGGAAAGGACGCGCATGTTTTTGAGCTGAAGATAATAAACTTGGTTGTGGCCCTGCTGAATTAGACATCCTTTTGGCAATCTAAGAGTCCTTGCCAGGATTCAAATGAATGGTAGGCACTTGAGAGTTCTAGGTTATGAACACAGATTAAGATGTCTTTGGGAACAAAGAGTTTTGGTTGAAGTAGTATGTGTGACTGAGATCACTCAGGGAATTGCATATGAATAGAGAATAAAAACAAGACCAGAACTATATGAAAAAGTAACTTTTGTGAAGCTGAAACAAGAATTTGAGCTAGAGGAGTAGACTGAGGATGAGTGATAGGCAGACCATCATGAGAATGATGCTACAAATTGCATGTTTGGAGAGAGGTGGAAATCAAGGACAACAATATCAGAAGAACTTAGGTCAGACATATATTCAAAGAAACCATCAGATTTGAGGAAGTAGTTGAATTTTACATAAAAGCATTACAAGGAGTTACAGATATGTCTTTCTTACTGTGGAACATGGGAAGAGATGTTGTAGTTGGCCCACATAAATTGTTTTTAAATCAGCTATATTTTGGCCTGGAGAGTTTTTAAATCTTTTCTACTTAGCTATTTAAATTGATCAAAAGCCAGAGAATATCCTATTTTCTAGTACGAGTTTCCTTTATCTTGTGACTTTTTTATCATTTTGAAATCTCAAATTAAAACAGTTTCCATTTACTGTTTTTCATGTTTTAGTTTTATGCCACAAGAAATACATTTTCATTTATACTTGACTGTTCCATTTAGGTGCAGTGGCTGATTAGATGAACTGGCCATGGGCAAATAGACTAATGGCCAGCACTACCTCCGGCCAAAATTGTCTTGTAATAAGTAATGTCACAAGAGAACTTGGTCAAGGGAATATAGGTAGAAACTATTTTAGAAGGCATTTTCTGGCGTTTACTTGATGAGCACAGTCATCTATATATGACAATCAGCATGGGATTCCACACTGTAAGCAATTGTCATAAGATGATTAAATTTCTTATTTAAACTCTCATTTATAAATATATTCAGGAGTGGTGTCTACATATTTGTTAATTTTATATTGAAATATAATACATGTTCCATTTTTCCCATTTTTAGGGGAAAGAAACTTTGATGACTCCCATCCCCTTTGCTAGACCACAGGACTTAGGACCAACAGTTGCTGTTGTTACCAAAGTCAACCAGATCCAAGATCATCTACTAAAGAAGCATGATATTGAGCTTTACATGCACTTGAACAGACTAGAAATCGCACCACAGATATATGGGTTGTAAGTATTAAAGTTTAAATTTCAGCTCTACCTAGTTGTCATTTCTGATGATTTCTGTATGTCTCAGATCCATAGGTATAAGAGCAAGAACTGTTCCAGCTTTGTTTCATTTCATATCTCTCTTATGTCCTATATGCCAGGCTCTGTGTTCTTGGCTTTCACATATGATGTTTAATCTAATACCCCCACCAAGCCTGTTAATTGAGTATTACCCATTTGTTACAGAGGAAGAAACTAAGGCTTACACATACTAAACAGTGAAATTATAATTCAGATCCAAGCAGGATTTGCTCCATAATCTGCAGAGCCAATGCAAAAAAAATGGACAGCCTCTTTAAAAAACAAAATAAGTAAGAATTTCAAGACGGCAACAATAGATAACTAAACCAAGCATTTTAAGAAGTAGAGGGTCATATAGGTCATACACACATGAAACCAGCACTGAACCCAAACAATCCTATAAGATATCCATATTCTTTTTATTTTATTGTATAGTCTTCTGTTTTACCTCAGAAGTGCCTTTGAAAAAGTAAAATCAGGGTCCCTCACAGTGCATATAATATATTAATCTTCAGCCACATAACCTCTGTAACATGCTGTAGCAGAACAGCAGGGAGACCGTCACTTCTTAGATGTGTGTGTGTGTATTGGTATGTGTATTCATTTGGTGGCTTCCAGTGTGAGTAGGCAAAGTGTAAGATAACAGTTTTAAACAATATGTTTGTTGTATACTACTACAGACAACAAAGGATCCTTTATATTAAAACAATAGAGCATTCACATCTGTGAACTGTTGGGCAGTTCCTTAGTAGATATTTCCTTCAAATTTCTTCCTCAATTAGGTAGAACATGGAAAATTGAAACGATACCATTGGGATGTACATAGTAGATGCTCAGTAAATATGACTTCAGTATTTGGATTATGAAGAATCTCAAGTCAAAGGGTTAAGACCAATTTATTTAGTCCAAAGTAAAGAATATCAATGAGTGTTTTCTTTATGTTATCATGTTTTACAGAGTTGTTCTCTAATAATAATTCGCCTGTCTTTCTTTTCTGGAACTCCTAAACTATAACGGAGGAAGTCTGCTTTCCTGTTTTTAATGCTTGTTTTCATTTCTATGACTTAAGCTTGACTTCAACATTTGAGAGCTGCTCCATCATCCCACTGGAAATAAGAAAAGTTGTGGGTAGCATGGTTATTGGGCGGCACTGTAGGTTATTAATGAATTGCCATCTACACTTATTAGTCTAGCTAATATGTTTCTGTGTATAGGCATAAAAGTTTATTTTAAAATAGGTAGTGGCAAGGTTAGGAGTTAAATTTTATTTCTCTCTACCGTGCATTAAAAAAATTGGTCTATTCAAATATAAAAGCCCATATTATACCCTCAAAAATTATTTTCTGAGTGTAGAAATTGGTCTTAAATATTGGGGAAAGAAATTAATGAATGTTTATCATTTCTTTAACATACTTTATTCTTCAGTACCTTTTTGTCCGAGCTGGTGCATTACTTTGCCATGGTTTCTGAAGAGATGGTGGCAGAATGGACTTGGATACAACGATTTAAAACCATTGTGTTCCCGATTCCTTTTCAGACATTAGTTTCCACAACTTTCTCTTCATCATAGTGATTCATAGGCCTTCTTTGATTACAGTACTTTCCCAGTAAAAATTCCTTGATCTGATTTATAATTACTCTTAATCCTTTCAGCTCTGTTTTTTTAGCAGTACTAACAATACCAAGGCTTTCAATAACCATAGCTGACTTATTTATCCCATTATTTTTGTTTAAGATCTCATCTGTATCACCAAAAAATATGTTTTTTTAATCTTTGAAGAAGTTACTCATTTTCGTAATTGGTCTGTACTGCATTTTATAGTGCAAGGGTTTTATGCACTGATTTCACTTTTTAAATTTGATCATTTCTACAAGTGGGGCACTTGAAAGGCCAGTGTGATTTTATTTTCCTATTTCTTTATGCTACCTTAAGCTGTACTGCTCATCTGTATATTTCCTATCGATGACTCCTATAATCCTTGGAACCAAAGAATATTAGTGTAATACAGAATAGCAGTTAGAACCAGGGTTTGAAATAAAACAGGCATGTTTACCCACTTTGAACCTTGTTTTCTTCATCTGTGAAATGGAGTTTAAAAATAATGCTATCTACTTCATAGGATGCCTATGAGAATTAAGTCATAATGTACAAAAATCATAATGCTGAGTATGAAGTAAACATTAAATATATGTTTGGCATGCTTTTGTTATTACTGTCATTACCATTACTTAATTAGGACCTCATGGCTCTGTGAATGTGATAAACTGTGTGATTCATGCACCCTTCCAGCTCTGGCTTTGGCTTTCTGTGTTTTCTTCATTAGAGTATATGGGCCACTTATAAACAGAACCGTAATAGCCATCCTTTTAGACCAGTGCTTCTAAAGAGATAGTGTAGAAGTTGAGAGTAAACTTTTAGAAACAAATCATGGCAATTTGGCACAGTAATTTTATGTCTTCGAACTTAATGAATATTATATCTCATGGAAATGAAATATTTTGTTTTTTTCTTTATCTAAATAATGACTGATGCTATTCTCTTCCTGTTGGAAGAAAGTTGGTAATTTAAGCTTATATTCAATATTTAAAAATAATTATTGCAGTTTGAGTAAATTATCAGCATGTAGACAAATATAAAATAACCGATTTTCAGTTAATAAAACCTACTCTCCCTCAAGCTGATATCAGAATCCATAATTGTATCATCTAAAATGTGATTCCCCCTCCCCCCCTAGCTGGGTAATTCAGTTGGTTAGGGCATCATCCTGATCTGCCAAGGTTGTGGGTTTGACCCTCAGTCAGGACACACATGAGAATTAATCAGTGAATGCATAAATAAGTAAAACAACAAATCATTCTCTCTCTCTCAAATCAATACATAAAATTTTAAATAAATACATAAATAAAATATGCTTTTGCATGCCAGCTGTTTTTTATAGAATTTTAATTTTCAAAAAGTATTTCCCTATATACTAAAATATTCTAACAAAATGGATAGCAATGTGATAAAAATGTCAATAATGAATGCACCAATGGAAAAATATTATCAATAGCAACAATTTTTTTATAGAAAGTATAGTAAATCATAAATATATGTTCATGTGGTAGGCAATGTGTTAGCAAAATGAAACTATATTCATATTGAGCCCAGGTTTCTAATTTTAATCAATCTTTAGCAGTTGCATGGTACATTAAAATTTATTGAAATCTGCTTTCTAATATGATTATAATTATCATTTATGAAAAGATTTTGCAGTTTAGTCCACATTCAGAAGTAGTTTTTGTTCAGTTTTCATAAAATAATATATGTGAGAGTCTCTTGATGCGGCAGATATGCCGTATGTAAACTTATTGCATTTGGCAAGAAAGTCAACAAAGTTAGAATTAATAATTAGTTAAAAATATTAATTGAACTAACGTTGGCTAGAATTATTCCAAATTAGCTTACTTAATTTTAAATAAGTTGATGATATTTATCTTGAAATTTGGGAATAAGTGTCCATGACCTTGAATGTTAGGCAATAACTTGCTTATTAATGCTATTATTTTATGTGTATAAGTGCTTCATTCCCTAGATAATAGAGGCTGGTTTTTCTGCTAGGAAATGTTAAATCAACTTACTGTTTAACCAACTTTATAAACCAATTTACTATTTAGGTTAAACAAAGTTATTTTGAAATTAAGTATTCAATACTTTGTAAGTGACATTATAAAAATAATATTTTCTAAAAATTATTTACACTGTTTTTCATTAGCCTTATAAAAGATTACTCCTGTTTCACTTAGAATGAAGTTTCTCTTGCTTTAATTCAAAGAATTAACTTCTTGAGTTGTCTTTTGTTTGCCTATTGTAGATGTGTATCATACTTCTTAAAAAATATGTCCTATAGGGGCCTATCACTCTCTGGCAAATTTCCAAAGTAAAACACTGACAAATATTTCTAAATTTCCTAGGTAATTTCTAAGAGCTAGTTGTTTTTTTTAATCTTTGTTTTTACTATGAGCAAATTTCCAAAGTAAAACACTGACAAATATTTCTGAATTTCCTAGGTAATTTCTAAGAGCTAGTTTTTTTTTAATCTTTGTTTTTACTATGAGAGTAAGCATCACCTTAGGGTTATTTTTGTAAAAAAAAAAAAAACGAAAACCTCTAAAATACTAGTGTTATGTTTCCATCCTTTAATATATACTTGTTGTGAGTCCTAAAAGAACCTCAATCATAGTAGATTCAATATAAAGCTTCAATATTGTTTTTACTTTATACTATTTGCTAAGAGACTAAAAAATTGAAGTTTAAAAGTAACAATTTTCGCTAGACCAGAGTAACTGTGTTTTATTATTACCTTAAATATATTGAATCTATATATTTTCAATCACATTTTATACTTTGGTATAAATAGAATACATAATAAGCATCTGTGGGATATGCAATTAATGTCATTTTTGAGGAAAAACCCTCATAACACACTTGGGCTTTGACATTCTTAAATTTTGGGCTCTTTACAACACTCATGGGATAAATTTCGTATCTCCCAGCTGTTTTTTATACATCTTCCATTTCTCTTATTTTCTATTTTCTGGATTAGCAGTTGTTTCGTTGTGGTGGTTTATAATAATTTAATTAGGGAAGTTCTTGGTTATTGATAAATACTTTGCTTATTTTTGTGATTTAATTTTAAAATACCACAATGTATTTGTTCTAACACATTTCACAGTGTTATTATGTAGGACTAAGTTTTTTAAACTATGTTTGAAATATAAACGATGGTAAAAAATGAAACTCTCAGTCACTGAAGTCATTTTAATTACCTACCTTAAAAATTCTCTCTTTCAACAATATAAGCAAAAAGCTTCGTATCCTAAGCGCAGGTAATGGTTGAAATAATTCTTTTCTTTTCAGTGAGCTTTATCTTATACATTAAATGTAAAAATCAGAATGA